ACGAGCGCAAAAGAAAGGATGATTTTCGATACGAGGGAAAATGTGCATCAGTGATTTCGATGGGAATCGATCGACTGCTGTCCTCCTACCCTAGCGTCGCATAGTATGAAGCGGCCTTACCTGAAATAGTGTTGTTGATCTCAGCATCTGATACGATTTTATAAAGCTTCTCCCCGTCTGATTCGACCAGCATGAATTCGAATTTCTGAAGCAATTGATATTTTCCTTTGACGTCACTTTCATGTCCGAAAATTGCCAATGACTGAAAAAAGAACCTCCTCCTTGTATTCCCTAGCTGCAGCTGCGATTCTCTTCTCAGCGTTTCGTATCTCAACCTCTCGTAACAACGCTACCATCCTGATGTGACAGTTGCACAGCCGGTGGAGATCTATTGGACTGCAAAGGGTGAACTACAGGGAAACTGTCATTTGTAAAAGTTGCTTGAACCTGCTAAATGAGGATGCGGTACACTCCATATCCCAGCGAAGGAAGGGCGTGGCTGCGTACTTCATTCAGAGGAGGCATGAGGTATTTTTTCCGTGGACTATTTTCATTCAAGACAACTTTCATTTTGCCTTGGCTGGACACTTACATGAATACAATTGTCTCGGAACGAAAACATCCCTCAAATGAAGTACGCAGCCACGCCCTCCCAACCTCTGGGGTATGGAGTATACCTGAGACAGAACACTCACGTTTTCCTAGTGGAACTCATGAAAAACGAGTGCATTTTGATAAGTGCTGATGAGACAAGTTGTTTGTAAAGATTTGGCCTAGCAATGCACATTGCACGGCCTAAAATACCCGAAAGACTTGGACGGCAATCGAAGTCCAAAGCAACCTGAAAAAGTCGCGTGTTCATAGATAGCATAACAGCACTGATAGAGCTAGAAGTAGCAATGCTACTTTAAAAAGAAGCAGGGCACGCCATCACACTGTCTAAAATTTTTGTTAAATACGACCTTTCTTCCCCCTAAAAGTGGAAGATTGCTGCACTCTCCACATCTAAACAACCCTCCCCCCCCGCGACCCCACCCCTGGAACTTCTACAAGATGCCATGGGCTGGTGGGGAGAGCCTA